GGAAATTAACTCAGGGAAGAGAAGAAGCCAAGTAAAGGGTTGGGGGTTGGGAATTGTTTTAGGGCATAGTTTTCTTGGATTTAAAAATATATATAGGGATATAGTGGTACACACATTCAAACTGGAAAAATTACAACTGCAGGGCATTTGATTCCTCTGTTTGGATTCCGAGGGCAGAGTTTACTTCCACGCAGATCAGAGCTTTTAAGTATGGCCCCTGCCACATGATGATGCACCAGGAAGGGTTTATATCTTTGGACTTTAGCCTATAGATTTATGCAGTGGAAGAGGCTGGAGGACCCTTCTGGCCAGTCTCGAGGGTAAATGAGAGAAGGAGTTCTACTTATAAACCGTTACAAATTGGTCCTCAGTAATGGCTGCAGTGTTGATCAGACGATATAAGGGGGCCCCCAGTGATTCCTGGGGTAACAGCTGCATGTAAGTCAACCCCTGAACATTTGCTTGTAGCTGCTCTAGATTTTTGTTTTTATTGAAGGAAAAGGAGTATAAACATGGGACGCACAGTCTGGAGGCTGCTTAAAGGGTTTCTCTTGTTTAAAGCTTATATTGAAATGTCAGTGTCTTGTGTTCAGCTAACAATTGCCATGTTGGAGCTTTATAACTGGAGTTGTGCTTGAGCATCCAAATGGTAGCTGTTGTTTTTTCTGTTATAAAACTGGCTGATTAATAGTTGTGTTGGACCAGGTTTTATAAATTGGAGAGAGAGAAATTATCATTCCCCTTTGAACTGGCCGTAGACAAACAGATTTTGTTCTTATAGCACAAAATATTGTAAATGATTATCGTGTTCTCTACTAAGACAATGAGGTTGTATTGCAATTAGATATTCAGACTCTTTCCTTTGAAACATTTAAAATTGGAGTAAATATTTACATTAGCATCAGTCGCTTCTATGTAGACTTGATTCCTGTTTACATTTATGTTCACACTTAAATGAAGATTAACAAATGGAAATAATCATTTTAGCTGGAAGTTATATACATGAGAAATTATTTCTCAATTATGCCCAAACCATCTTTGGTCATGCTTTAAAGTGGTTGACCGGGACAGGAAGTTGCTGGCCTCCAACATATTCTCAGTGGTGAGAGCTTCACTCCTGCCTCAGCTGACATTGGATCCACAGTGTTGGCCACATGCATGCTCCCGCCCCGCGCCCCCCAGTTTACAACAGAGAGGGGTTTTCTGTTTGTTCTGGAAAGATAGAGGCTTATACGGAAAGCTCCATTTCTTCTCATTCAGTTGACAAATTTGCACTCTGATGTTTCTTTCTTGTTTTTCTTGTGCTAATTTCTGCTTTCACATGTATTTGGCTAGAATACTTTTCAGTCTGAGTTCAGAACTGGAGTTTTTCTATACTCCATAATATTGCTCATTTCCTGTCTAACTTTTTGGCTATCAAAATTTCAGTGCTGTAATCAATCTTTATTAATAGGATATGGGAAGGATAGTGTTTTTTATTTGCTAATTCTCAAAGTAACCTCCAAAGGCACATCACGCTCATTGTAGAAAAACTGGAGAATATAGATAAGTAAAAAGAGGAAGAAAAATCTAGAAGTTTCATCCATAGATCCCATCTATAACTCTTAATAAAAAATAGGGCTGCACTAGCCTATTATATCGTTAATGGAATATTGTAATGGTTATTAAATCAATTGACTCAGAATCTCTTTTTAATAAATGAGTCAGACTGTATTATCCAGTTAACTGTCAGCTGCTACTTTTCCAGAGAGCAGAAATGGTTACTTTCATTGAATTTTTTAAGTTTCTGGCACCTTTAAGGAAGAAGGGAGAAAACAAGGCAAGATGTAAGTTGTGGCTTCATGGGCAAAAATCCTGAGTCTACAGCTTAAGTTCATGTGAAATGGAAGGTATTGATAGCACCACCTCATGAACATCGATCTTAAATTAAAACCAGAGTTATTCTTACTGTTCTGCCTTACACCAGATAGGAAGAAGAAAGGAGAGAAGCTCAGTTTTGAAAGGAAACAGGGCTTAACTCGGCCAGATCCTCCAATACTAAGGGTTTTAGAAATTCTTTGAAAATTAAGAGGCTACTCTTAGCCACGCAGTGTAAATATAGTATGTGTGAGAGCTGAGTTAAACAGAGACTCTGAATAAGGATAAACTTTTAAAATTCTTATTATAAATAAGCTTTATTAGTTTTCCATTACAATCTGTCCCCCATTCTTCAATTAAAATAATACAAAATGAATTCTGTTAACCAGTGGTACAAATGTTGTGGGTCCCCCATTTCTCTCGTTCATTATCCAACTGACCCTGTGGTAATAAGCAAGTATGAGCATCGGGAGAAGGAGTAGGGAAGTTAGCAGGCAAGAGGAATGTGTGGGTGTGTTCAAGTCTAGCTTGGAGCATACTGGCTTTTGCTTGTCTACCATTTGCTGTGTAATAATTCTGATATATTTTCCATTCTTCTCAAATACGGAGGAAAAGTCATTTGTTGGAAAAGACCTCAGTATGTAACTTAGAAATAAAAGATATTTTTTCTATATTACAGTATGCTTTTAAACTGTAAAGAGTTCTTGAAAATGCTGGGTGCTATTGTATTGTCATTGTTGTCAGTTAGTGCCTTCACAAATAAAATGTGGAATTCATGAAAAATAAGTCTGCACTAATAATGCGTAAATACTTTATGAGTGTGTGTCATCTTTTTGTGAAATCACTTGACTAAACTTGGATTATTTAACATTTTATGAGGCACTTTTCTGTTCTTTGGATAAGAAATAAATAAAAATTAATGAGGACATTTTCCTTGTACGCATACACATATATCTTATTTATTTTTCCTTCTATTATTTTTCCAAGCAAAATACTCAGAGTCAAGAATGATAATATCACATTAAAGATCATCCTAACTTACATAATTCACTTTATGTTCATGAGTAACAGTCAATTATTATCTCCAAGAAAACCCACCAGGCCTACGTATGTTACTTCACAAATATTGCAAGTTTAAGAATTCTGGAACAAATGTGTATCCCTGCTCACACCCATAGGCCATAGCTTGGTTCTTGTGCAAAACACATAATTTAAGGATGAAATTAGAACTCTTAGTTACCTTCTTACTGTCAAAATAAGGATATACAGCATTGAGGAAATAGAAAACATCTAAATTTGGCAAGTATTTCTGATGATTAACTTACCCAATTCCCTACAATAAATTGTGTTTCTTATATTTCTTAATATCTAAAATTTGGAAAAATTTTGGTGACTTTAGGATTGAAAAAAAAGAGAGAGAAAGGAACAGATGAAAAACCCTTGATCTTATATAATCCCTAAAGCTTTTTATATAACCCCTTGTCATGTCAGTAGGCACAATTAAACTCCTTCTTACATAATTATAATCAAGGAATTTACTGTGCCACCCAAATACAGAGTAGGTTTTTATCTCTTGTGAAATGTAGACAGTACTGGGTGGCTTAATTAGTGCTTTGCTTCTCTTTTTACAAATTCCAATCCTCTGCTTCTAAAGACTCATACTTGTGTGAGAAGAAAGATTAGGAATACAAATAGAGTGATTTTACTCCTAGTTAGCTAATAATAATTCCCTTTGTAATTGGGCCTTTGTGTTGCCAGTAATATCAACTGGTGAAGGACTTACACATGCATATTGTGTTGAATGAAAGGAAAGAATTTTGGAGTATAGACCCGTTAGCCCCACAGTGTGAACATGTCTTTCATTTTCTAGACCTAGAATATCCAACACAGATATTCCTTAATAGCATTTTTAATCATTGCAAATAATAGAAGATAAAAGTATAACTTGATAACAAGCCAGGTTAAATTGCAGCCTCTTAGCCCTTACTCATCCTAATAAGTAGTCTTGGGGATAGCTGGTGGATGCCATAGCATATCTGCTAAGATCATGGACCCTGAGGCCAGACTGCCTGGGTTTAAGTTCTGACTCTACGAAGTATTGCTCTTTGATTCAGAGCAAAGTCACTTAAACTCTCTGGGTCTCATTTTTCTCATCTATAAATGGAAATAATAGTAATAATTGTTAAATTAAATGAATTCATATCTGTAAGCACTTAGAACAAGTGTCTGAACACGGTAAGCACTAAAGAAGTGTTAGGTTGTTCGTTCTCGTGCTGCTGGTCTTCATTTCTTATAATTGCAAATTGAAATGAGTTAGGATAATCCTTAAATTTTAAAATTCATAAACATTTTAATGAAGAAAAAGGCAACATAAAACTGTTTCTATCCACTCTTCATTTTTATAGCAATTGTTATTGCATCAAAATATTTTTCTACCATCTTGTTCCTAAGATATCAAAGAAAAATCAAAAGTGAGCCTGGAGCTCATAAAGGTGCCTTTGGAGAAAGACAGAGTCTAGATCAGGGGGTGAAATTGAAACTGTCTTACAAAGTCCAAGGAGCAATGAATTAAGAAGACATGGGAAACTGGGAGTACCAAGCAGAGAAAAGAGTATTTATAAGGTACTATAAGCATTAATAATATTTCAAAATTGCCAGAAAATCTTAGAAGTAGAAAAAGAAAGCCTGTAACAATGGGAATACCACTGAAAACTGTATGGTTATGCATAGAAACTTCTAGAACCTTCTAGATAAACCAGAGAAGAAGCCTAAGGAAGAAGCTGTCCATTTGTCCATGGGTGCTTTATTTTAGGACTTTGGAAATACAAAGCCCATAAAATCATGATAATTAGAGAAAAGGAGATGCCTCATTATTGATATACCAATTATACTTGAAAAGCTTATAAAATGCATTACCCTAAGATAAAATCTGACTTCTGATTATGTTTGGATTTTAAATTTCAGAATTGTTTTAAATTGATAGGCAGTCATAAATAGTGTGAAATAATCGTAAACCATATATACTATTACATATTTATATTAGGTGATAGAAATAATTTAATGTATGAAATTATAGTTAACTCCCTAGTCTATTAAAGATATGATAGGTTTCAACTTTTCTGTCCATGTATGTTCCTTAACAGATGAAGGACTGAACCACGAATGCAAACTCTGCAGCCAGACCTTCGACTCCCCTGCCAAACTCCAATGCCACCTGATAGAGCACAGCTTCGAAGGGATGGGAGGCACCTTCAAGTGTCCTGTCTGCTTTACAGGTAGGAAGATTACTTCAGGAAAATTCTGGAGAATTTCATGTCCACATCGTGTCTTTCCTACCAAAGCCTACTTCCCACTGCTATGGCCTTTTACAGATATGACTTCAGTTCAATTTGGGGCGAAGACGTTTGGTTTCTGCTCATTAGCATTATTGATTGCAGCCTACTTAAGAGCTCAAATGGGCAGGAAGGTTAACTGTCAGGATGAACAAAAGGCATTTCAAGTTCTTTCAGAAGTTTGCACTTTTTCCATTTGGAAAACGACATCCATGCTTTGCTCAATTTTCTCCTCTTAGTGTTCAAAGATCACAAGGCAAAGACGGCCTGCCCAGAGCTGCTTTTTCGTCACAAGACTTGGGACCAAAAGTGCAGCCATGTTGTCAGCTCATGTCTGTTATTTCAACATGAAGAATTTTATAACATTCCCCATAAGAAATAAAAAGACATTATTAAAACCCTCCTGAAATTCTTTGAACTAGAGAACGGATTAGATGAGGCATTTATTTCCTGTGAAATTCAGTTTTAAAAATAGAAGTTGATATAAATTTATACTTTTACGAAGAAACTTAGTAGATGTTATAGTGTTATAGTTTTCAGCAGAGAAAAAAATGTAAATCAGAAACTATAATTTGAAGCCCATAGGGGTTGAAATACAATCACACACATTTCTGGTACTCCCCCAACAATGGCAAAGTTCTTTTGGAAAATCCTTTGTGATCATTTTGCATGTGTCTTAGATTTAGTGGTCAAGGCTCTCAAGGCTATGTTTCCTTCTCATTTGTCAGAAAAAGTGAAACAAAATAAAAATATATCCTTCTCTCAAAATTGACTCCTTTGTTTGCAGAGCAAAATTCCAAGCATTGATTATTAACTTGCACTGCATTCAGCCTATAGATTTCTGCCCTGTAATAAAATAAAAAGAGAGGGGCCGTGTTCATGGCACAGTTGGCACAAGTAGGACCTGAGTGTGTTGATGGCTCTGCCTTCATTTGCCTGTGACACTCCTTGGTTCAATAATTCCATCGGCCACTGCGTCTTTTGGAGCTATTGTTTTATTCTTCCAAATATGTATTTAAAAATACATAGTGTTATGTTTTTACCATAATGTAGTATTTATCCTAAGATATAGTGAGTCGGGAGTCTGAGTTCTTTATGAAAGCTCGTAATAAGTCTTCATAAGGAGGACTGGGTCGTAGGTCTCCTCATGATTAAGCCCCCTAATAAAATAGTTCTTTTGTGTTGTGGCCAGAAGCCTCGTAAAATGTGCTGAGTTATATGGAGATTAGTTGTAAATCTGTATAAAAATCCCATTTCTTTTTGTTGATGTAGGGAAGAGACAAAATGCATTAATCATGAACAGCCTGCGTTTTCTGTGCTGACAGACCTGAATTGTTTTAGTGTATCTTGAAGTAATTTTAGAAATAACAATTAAAAAAAAACAAAACAAACCCTTCCAATATAAAGCATGTTAGGTGGGGTAGGAAATCTGAGCAGTTTTTTAAGGTAATGAGAAATGTGATTAAAATGTATGACTCACAAGAACAATATTCTAATATTTTAGGTTGGCTGGCAATTAGAATAATTTTAATGATTAGACTGGAGTCAAAGTCAAATGCCAACATCTTTAATAAATCCTTTCCCTGCCTATACAGATTAATATTGTAGATACAAACTTTTTTAGGTCACAGTGCACCAGGCATCCATCAGAAGTCAGTTCTGCCAACCCAAACACTGCCTCTGGCATATACAATTTAATTATTAATAGTATGTCTCCTAGGTAAACTGTTACACAGTCTTAGGGCCTTGTTTTGTAGTCATTAAAATTGAACATGTTTATATTATTGAAACCCTTGCATTCGGTGTGTAGGCTGAGTTGATCTTAAAGTATCCAAAGAGAATTTACCTGCTGTTCTGTTTCACATTTATAGACAGCGCCCCAGAGTAGCTGTGGGATATAATTTTTAGCATTAACACATTTAAATAGAGAACTGTTTGCTAGCTATAACTTTAGGCAAATACAATAAACAGGGTGTTGGCATCTGTGATTTCTTAACCTGTGGGTTGCTGAGAAACAAGAGTCATTTCTGTTCAGAGAGTGCTGTGCATATGACGATTTTCGGCTTTATTTTTAAAAGATTTATAGGGAGCTGGGCCTCCGTAAACCTTTACTTTGGAGCTGTTTGGGTTGAATTAGGTGCTCGGTAAAGTGCATCTCAACAAAAGTCAGAGACCCAACCATACGCAAGTGTGACTCAGCTCTCCCCAGGTCCCTGGCAGTGGTCACACCCAGAAGGAGTCCCATTCAGTCTGCTCAGTCTGGGTCTGTTCCCAGGGAGTCATCGACTGAGGGCATTTCAGAAAGAAAATAACCCCAAGTTCACCATTCTTTTATCATTTCAGTGTTTGTTCAAGCAAACAAGTTGCAGCAGCATATTTTCTCTGCCCATGGACAAGAAGACAAGATCTATGACTGCACACAATGTCCACAGAAGTTTTTCTTCCAAACAGAGCTGCAGGTAATGTCCCCATGAGGAGGATGAGGATTGAACTCAGTTGCTCATCTTATGGGAAACAAGGGCTTTTTAAATCTGGATTCACAGTATCACTCACCTTGGGCCACCATGATGCTTTGTGTGTATTGGGGCAAAGGGAAAATTAGAGGCTGGATTAACAGGCACCAAAGTAATTTTGCCTCTGGCTGCTGTCAATCATAAAAAGAACTAGAACAGACCTATAATTGGACCTTCTGACCCAGTGTGATAGACTTAGGGGTCAGGTTTATTGGACTATGGGATCACTCACCTCGCTTGTCATGGCCCATTGTCCCAAATCCTGTTTTATTCATGTTCTGTTCCCACTGCGCTCCAAGCTGGATGGATATCCAGGTTATTGTTGTCCTGAGGGGCTTAAAATTGGAAGGGAGAAGGGGAGAGAAGAAAGAAGCTGTACTCTTGTCCAGTATGTGTTTCTTCTGCTTAATGGAATAGAATAATTCTTACTCAGTAATAGCCTTATAGTTGAAAATTTTGGCACCCAAAGACATTGGGTTTAGCCTTGAGTGTCCCACTAGCTAGGTGTGTGACTTTGCAGATATGGAGAAATGATAGACAAATGTAACACTTGCGGGGTTGTTGTTAGGTAAAAATGAAATAACAGGTCTGAATATAAGATATAAACTATAAAATATAATACAAATGTTTGGTTGGTTTAATTATTCTTAACAATAGACTGATAGTTAAAAATATGAATCAGAGACCTGGATTCTGTCCTAGAAATGTTACTTATTGTAAAAGGAAAAGATCTCTTGTGGGTTTTTTTAATTACTTCATCTGACAAATGGGTATAATACATATCATATTTTTCTGATGAAATGATATGAGTAACATATTTTCGTTAAATCTTGTTGGTGCCCTTGGAGGAGAATGGACTCGAACTCAAAATTATATTTTTATTATGAGCGTTATTATTAATAGTAAAATTATTTAGTCTAAAATGGAGGGTCCGGGGAGGAATTATTATTATTATTTTGTATTGAATCCCTTAAACAATTTGAAGAGGAGCTGATCTGATTGAAGCAGAGACTCAGAACCCCACCCACTCCTAAGTCTCCCATCCCATGCTGTGGACCCTGGGACAGCTTTGTACCTCCTTGGGTTCTGGGGAAGACAGATTTATGTGAATTATGTGTCAAAATAAGGAATTTACGGTTTACCCTCAGTTATCGTTCTATAAGTGAACAAATAGCAAATAAAGGGGGTGAAATAAAAAATATATGAAAAATCTTTGAGCCTATTTAATTGTCATAATGTGTCAGTGGACCAAAATTAAAGTCATTATCTTACTTTTTATCACTTCTAAATAGAGTTCTACTCTGTCACATCTGTTTGTGAATTGGATATAGAAGATAGATCAAGTTAGACTATGGTTTAAAAGTATGTATTATTAAAATAACCTAAATTTCTGTTTGAAGGTATATTCTTATTGCAATAGGTATCAAAGGATAAGTCATTTGGGTTTATGTTCTTGAAAAAAAGTTTGTAACAAAATTCCACTTTTGTGCTGTATTAATAGATTCTAATGCAACTAACCTGGTAGTAAGACTTCAATATCTTTCCTTAAAAGAACCCGACACTGTGGCAGTGGTAGCCTGTGGCCTATTGTAGAGCAGACAAAACTAAGCAATTAAACACATCCTTCAGGACTCCAGGTTTCTTTTATGGTGTATTTTAGGGTTTCATGGAACGTGCAGTATTCACTCTTTTCTAGAATTTGTATAGACCAGTGGTTCTCGAACTCTTTGACCTCGGGATGCCTTTACACTTAAAAATGACTGAGGACCACAAAGCGCTTTGATTTATGAGGGTTATTATCTATTGTTATTTCCATATTAGAAATCAAAATTGAGAAATGTTTTAAACACAGAATATGCAATCACGAATACTACTAGCTGTCAGAAAGATAATACCATCACTTGTCAAGTAGCCTCTAGAAAACCACTGTACACTCAGGAGATAATGACAGTGTCAAGGGCAAATAAGGTCCTAAGGTTATTATGAAAATAGTCTTGACCTAACAGACCCCCTGAAAGGATCTAGGAGACCTCCAGTGGTCCCCGAGCCACACTTTGAGAACTGTTGGTATAGAAGATATAGTACAAAACATACAACTCTTTCTGAGTCTTTAAGATCTTGTGAGGTCAAACAGCTCTCAAAATATTTCTGACTCGTTCATTCTAGTTGTGATCTGGGCCAAAATAAGACTTATTTTATAATCCAAAGCTGTGAGCATCATTTTTCAATCTCATCACTCAGAATCATACATATTTGGTCTTGATATGAATACTCAGGCTTACTAATGTGCATCATTCCTTTGATGAGAATGGTATTTATAGTTACTATGTGATGATTATTACAAAGCTAATATCCACAGTCATTGGAATAACTATGTAGGTCTATTTTCTAAAATCTCTGGTAATAACAGTGGCTTTTAGTTTCAAGACATTAAGAAAAATGGATCAGGGTTAACATTACTTTTTCTAGTTTTGAGAGTGTTTTGATTTTTATATTTTAACCTTAGGGGTTCACAGTCCCGTGCATTTGCTTTCATTGCCCAAATTATCTTTACACCTGTGCTTAGAGGATGGAATTAATGTAGTTTTAAAATATTGATTTCTTTTATTTCCTATATAGAAAGTGGGCAAGATAAGTATCCAAACCATGATACAATTTTGTTAATTTCTAGAATGAGAGGGAAAATCGACTGAAATTAAGATGGCAATAAAAATAAGATCGGTAACCAAAATAATAACAGAGTAGAAAAATGAAGCCATTTTATCAGCCCACTGTAGTTCATGCCTTGGTATGTAAAATAATTTCACATTGTAAAATTGACACGACATACCACTGGAACTCATCTACTATTTTATGCCACTAAAGTTCAGAAAGAAGGACTTTTCACAAGACATTACAGAACTAAAGCCCAAGAACTAAAATCCTGTTGGAGCTTTGAAAGCATATAGTTTATTTGGCTCTTATATCAGAGAGAGAATAATAGGGTATGTTTAGGATGAGCATTCTAAAATTGCCTGGTAACATAACTATGGTGTATCTTTTAATGGTGCATAAATGATTTCATGACCGTAAAAGTAATTTACATCTCTTTCACTGTTTATACCCAGTTAAAAAACACAAAAGTATCTTTTTGTGGAGAGAAGTGCTTTGTTGGGTATAAAATTATATACCCAACACACACACACACACACGCAGGTGTGTTATTTTCATTGTTGCCTGCAAAGCCATTCAGAATTCAAATAATTCCCCATTATACACTGTCCATCTTCAAAAAATAAAAGACTCTGACCAATCAGCCTTTGGACATCACAGGCCACAATTCCTTTTAGAATTAAAAACTTCTTTTTTTATGGAACACTCAATCTAGGACACAGCTTTTGCCAGTGTGGAAGTGGCGTTCTTCACATGACCCGTAAATCTTTCTGACCAAAAGTTCTAAATGCCAGTCCAGAGATATATAATGTATAATTCTTAGCAGGATGTAGTCTTTTTCTTTTGATAGAGTTTTTCCCCCATTTTTGCAAGGAATTCTAATATACTTCAAAGGCCACCTAGCATGCTAGGGAAGATGTGCTTTGGAATAGGAGTGCATTATTTCAACTCAATGAACATTTTGTTATTTTAAAAGCAAATGAATAAGTTGAATGTTTCACATGTTTTCCTAATAGACCTCAAAACTTTTTCTGCAGAATTTAAGGAAGCTGCTTTGAGAGAGGGATGGTGTGGTCCAAGAATAATATCCTACAATGCATATTTGTATCCATAGTGGTTTGTACAGGTGTGAGCAAGTGGTGTGTTTGTAAAAATCCTGTTGAATAGGCCACTTTCTTTCAATACAGTAATTATTGTTTAATTGGTGCCTCTAGAAAAGCTGCAATTCAATGGCAGTGATTAAATCATCCTCTTCCAATGTGTCCTCATAGAAAGTTCCACCAGGCAACATGTTTTGAATTTAATGGACATAGAGAGAATTCTAGCAGTAGGAGAGGGAATTGGCCTAGATGAACTCTAGGCTCTGAGATTCTGGTATTTCAATTCCTTTTGAATCAAAGATTATTTTGATACTTAGCCCTTCCCTTCATTAATTCATGAATGCAGTGTTTTCCACATTCAAAATACAATAATCATTTGACATTCTAAGGGATACACCAAGATTTTCAGATATCACAAGTTTAAATATGTAATTGTCTCTACAGCTGTTTGATTTTCTTCTCAAATCCCTTTCCCACTAAATCACCTGATTTTGATGCACATTTTTTACAGCTTAACTAATGCTCAAGTTTTATGGTCCTATTTCTGAAAGAAAAATGAATTACTATATATGGGCTGGGACGTATAAGACAACAATACATCAGGGGCCGGCCCGGTGGTGCAAGTGGTTGGGTGCGCGCACTCCGCTGCAGCGGCCCGGGGTTCACCGGTTCGGATCCCGGGCGCTCACCGATGCACCGTTTGGCAAGCCATGCTGTGGCAGGCGTCCCATATCAAGTGGAGGAAGATGGGCACGGATGTTAGCCCAGGGCGAGTCTCCCTCAGCAAAAAAAAGAGGAGGATTGGCGGATGTTAGCTCAGGGCCGAGCTTCCTCACAAAAAAAAAAGACAATACATCGTTGAAATGTGGCTGAGAGCGGCTCCCTGGGTCACTCGCTAACTTAGCTACTTTCGTAAACTAGCCTTTTAATAAATGTAATACAAATTTATGTCTCAAATTATTAAATAATATGTGATGAGACATTTAAGAGTCCTTGTTAATAGTCAAAATCACAAGTGCTATACTATATAGTACTATCATCCTAGTGCCGTTATTAAGTAAGAAAATACATTTATTAATTTAAAATATTTATAAAAATATAATTTCATCATTTTAAATTCACCATGGTCCCAAGCACTCTATGACATATCAAAAATAATTAGAAATACATTGTATTTACAGCCTACTAGAAAAG